GTGTCACATGTACAGGAGCATCTATGTGTTGGGGTGTCTGTGTGTACCTGCACAGGGGGGTCTGTGTGTGCTGTGCAGGGGTATCCCAGCGTTGGGCTGTCTGTGTGTCATGTGTACAGGGGTGTCTATGTGTTGGGGTGTCCGTGTACAGGGGGTCTGTGTGTCGGGGGTCGGTGCGAGCCTCTCTGTGCAGTGTCCCGTGTCCCCGCGGGGCAGTGTGTGGGTGGGCAGGCAGGTGTCCACGCCCGGGGTGGACCCGGCTGCGAGGCCGGCTGTGCACGAGCTCTGTCCGTCCTGCGCGGGCCGCGGCGGCGCGGGGCGGCGCGGGACCGCACGGGACGGGCAGCGCCGGTGCCGGTGCCGCCGCCGCGCTCATGCCGCGGCTCCGGTGAGTGTCGCGGCGGGGGAACGGCCGGGCAGAGCGGCGGCCGCGGTGGCTCCGCGGCCCTCGCTGACCCCCGCGCGGCCGTTAGGGCGGCCGTTACCCCCGCGCGTGGCCGTTGCGCGCCTGAGGCGGCGCCCGTTAAGGTGGGCGCGCGGCCGCTGCCGTGACGTGGCGGCCGTTAGGGAGGCCGGGGAGGCGCGTGCGGCGCCCGTGACGCGCGCGAGGCGGCGCCCGTGACTCGCGCGCGGCGGCCGTTAACTTGAACGGGGYGACCGTTAACGTGCGCGCGGCGGCCGTTAACCTGAACGGGGTGACCGTTAACGTGCGCGCGACGGCCGTTAACTTGAACGGGGCGGCCGTTAACGTGTGCGCGGTGGCCGTTGACCTGCACGCGGCGACCGTTAACTTGAACGCGACGGCCGTTACCTGCGCGAGTGCTGGCTCCTCTTGTCGACCCTTAACGGGTAAGCAGACGGTGCCGGTTATTTGAGGAGACGCTATTTTGGTGTCTAGATTCAAGCAGGATGGGGGGTATGGTTTTGCCGCCACAAAGCAAGCCCTAAGGCTGTTTTTCAGTTCTGGGCAATTTCGGTTTATTGGAAGGCAGAGCATTTACTCGAAGCCCTTTGGTGCTGCGATTGCTCATGTTCACGGTTACTAATCACCTCCCGTTCAGGGCTGTGCGGAGAGGAGCTGCTGCACCAGCCCTTGAAATTCCCCTCTGAACAACGCGGGCGTAAAAATAGAAAGCAAGGTGGCTTAGCTGTATTTTGGAAAATCTTACATATTTCACTGTTGCATCAGCTGTTAGTTCATTTTCTTAAAAATATGGAACCGGTCCCATCTTGTATCCTCATGGGCATGACCCCTCGCCAAATCACCTGAAATGCAGTCACAATTTAAAGCTTTGCTTTAAAAATGGATGCATTTTTTGTCATCTTAACAGGTCAGAAACTACAGAAAGTCCWGGTTCATATTATTTTTCTCTAAAATACCTGGTATACATCCCTGCTTCTGTAGTCCTGCAGCAAGAGGATGTAAAGGAAATATAATTGTTAATGTAGGTTGTGAAATGTTTTGGAAAAATACTGAGCTTAGTTCTGGCTGACCTTGATATATGGAATAACTTAAGTAAAATACTTGTTTAGAATATGTTCCAGTACTGAAGTGTTAGCTTTATATAGTAAGGCTAGACATGACACAGCTATGCATTTGATTTTGAAACTATCTTGTAGACCTAAAAACATTTCTAAAGCCCTTTTTTGTTGCTCTTTTGTTGTTGTCAATGTGCTTATTACATGTGTCTGCAGATTTTTAGTAAGGGTAGAATTTAATTAATATTCATCAATAAATGGTGTGTGATACCTTTCATTTCAGAAAGTAGTCCAAAGAAACGGTGAGATTATTCATTCCCAAAGTCTTATGCCATGTTTTTTTCAGCTCTGGGAATACTGAGGCCGTATTAGTCACCTGGAATGAATTCGTTTGGCTTTTGGTGTCCTTCTAAAACCCCTTTCACACAGAGCAGTGGGCAAGGGTCCTCGTGGGGCATGCAGGCAGGATGCAGCGGTAACCATCGCACGTGCTGCTACGTTCACATGAGGGTCTTTTTGCCCTGTGTGCCCACGTGGTTTCTCCTAAGTGATGACAGGTTTGTCCCTGCTTCTCTAACCTGGTATTTCCCCCATTCTCCTGCCCTAGGGAGATGCAGAATCTCCCATCAAGAGGTGAGATGAGTATCCCAGGTTGACTCTAGCAGCCCCAGGACATTGCACCCGGTCTCTTACCCTTCCTTTGTACCTTTTCTTCCTGTCTCTGGTTCCCCCATGAAACAGCTCTGTGGAGACCACAACATTTGCCTTGCTGTGACAGGGAAGGAAGCAGTTGGCACATGGGACTGTACAGCAGCCYGGAGGCGATGTGTGCCAAGCGTGGGGGGTTGGCTGGTGAGAGCTAAAAGTTCTGCCAAACTTTAGCTGTTACACAGCTGCGAGGAGCTGAGGAAGCTCACCTTTAAATGTGGGATTCTCACCGCTTCTGTGCAAACCTGCGAGGCAAGAGGTGTAAGAGCAGGCATGAATGCAGAAAATCTTCATTCCTTTGCACTTGAGGCACTCATGGTCTGTCCCTGTTCTTCTCAATTCTCAGACTGCAGGGGGAGGGAAGAGAGCAGGTGATGTCTGTTTCTAGAGTAYGTAGTTTTAAAGTGCACATAATGCCACGTTCTTCTAGCTGCTGTGCCTGTCTGTAGGGATAACCAACCTAAAAATCAGCTGTTGCTTAGCCCCATGTGTTAGGAGTCAYGATTTAGCAGGGTCACCAGGCAAAATTAATTAGAAAGGATTCATGAAATAAATGTGCTGGATTTTCTGGAGYTGTAGAATAGTAGAGTACAAATACATTAAAATTATTTTTCTGCTTTTTAGGGACTGGTAAAAGGCATTCATTCCCCTTAAGAGATCAAAATGTTATTTGCATGGGTTGTGCCTTCAGCAGTTTGGTTTTTGGTGAGCTTCACAGCAGGTAAAGATTTCTCTTTTTTTCTGCATAGAAATTATCACTTAAAAGAAGCACTCAGGTCAGGAATTTTTCTTTAAACTCCTATGTGGTGCGCGAGCAAGCATCTTAATGGAGAAAGCAATATTGCATTCTCGGTTAGGTTTATGTTACAAATCCTTTAAGAACTGATCGATCCAGTGCTGCTGCTGAGTGACTTCCCATTGTTCATGACAATGTATCTTGTTATTTATATCTATTTGTGACAGAAATGGTAGAAAAGACAAGTCTACTCAGGCACTGGCAGCTCTTTTGCCATTTATGCATTTCATAAACATGTACCCTGCAAATCAGTTCCATTTGTGTATTTAAGGTAGTATATAGCAATTAATGGTTAATAAGTTGTTGGTTTTTAATTCAAAGTAGAAGCATGCAGCTAGTTACAGGAGCAAACATGTCTGTGGTAAATTCTCACAGAGATTTTTCAAAACACCGAAGTAAATAGAAATGTTGCTCCATCATTTTGCTTTACCTACAGCATAGGTGTCTCTGAGCCAGTGTACACTGTGTTCAGTACTGCCTGTCCAGCCTTTTATGTGCTCTGGAACTTTGAGAATAAACTATACAAGAGGAAGTCCAGTGAAATCAAAGAAAATCTGACTTTTTCTCTTCAACAGAGACGTGTCTGCCGCTGTTTTACTGAAATGCAGATAGCCCTGTGAACAAAAGCAAAGTATAAGTTCTTCTGGCAGATTTTTGCCTTACATTGTACTTTTTCTGTGTGATGACTGGTGCTAGATTTTGTTTTCTAATCTCTGTTTAATCAAGCCAGTGAAGATTGTGGCAAAGCGGTATATTATGAGTAACAGTGCAGAGACAGGAATTCTTAAATTATAAATTTGGGAAGTCTGTCTTCACAGCGCAGCATATGCTACAAGATAAATGATATATTCTTTTAAAAGTTTGTTTTCCCTTCTTGTTATAGAAGCGTGTGTTAAAAGAAACATGACTGCAAACAAACCCCATGGCATTGCAGAAGTATGCGATAAAGGAAACATGACTGCTAACACTGCTTCTCACATCCAGACTGGAACAAATATTACCCTCTCATGCCAATTAAAGCAACCAAAACRGGAAAAGCAATGCAAGACAGCTATTTTCTTTAACAGTTCTGAACTAAGTAGCAATTATGGCAGTTCGATAAGCACCAGTTTTCTAGTCCGTACGTATGGCAAACTCACGTTTACCTGCAAAGTAGTTTGTGAACACAGGAAAAACCTCATCTGTGGAATTGACATAGAGTCTGGAAGTAAGGACAGTTTCGTTATTCTCTATTCTTATTTATTTTCTTTGGTACTTTTGCAACGTACATTAGAAATCAATAATGGGTGGCCTTTTTCAAAATGGTGCTGTGTTTATTGGCTCTTTTTTTTTTTTTTTTTAGGGTATTGCAGGCTGAAACTGTGCAGCACTGCAGAGGGTCTCCCCTGATTCCCAGCCCCTCACACGGATGGTCAGGATGATCCGTATTTGCATCTTTTCCTTCTTTTGAGGGAAACTACATACAACTGTCCCTCTGCACCCGCTGTATAGTTGGATGGTGATCCAACCTTTGAAATTTATATGGAAATGTATACACAGTGATGATGCTTGTGTTATCCAACTGGCTCCACAGGAGCAAGTGAGAGCAGGAGTCCAAGTCATAGAAAAATGGAAAGATGTTAAACAGAACCACTTGTTGGAGCAGATACAAGACTGACTGTCTCCTGTGCTCCCCTTGAAACCCACATCTCCAGTCCCCAGGGAACTTGCGAGAAGGAGTCTAAAGGGGATCTCAGGTTTTCTTCTAGAAGCTGCTCCAGCTGCTATCAGTGGAAGATAGGTTTCTCTTTTAAAAAAAATAATCTTTTGTTGCTTCAAGCAGAACTTGTGGCGTCCAGTCGTGACAGCCTTTAAGTAATTTTATTCATTTGATCAGCCTTGTTAAGTGTCTGAGGTTTTGCACAAGAGTTACAGGTCTCAACGGATTGCGGAGATCAAAGACTCAACCATTTTTGCATATGTAAATTGTCAGCTGCAATTTTTTGCTTGTGTATGAACTCTTCAAAGAAAGACTGGCATTTGTTAATATTTCTCACACTGGTATTTTTAAAAAGGACATTGACGATCTCTGTTTAAGATCCTCCAGATCAACCAAAAAATGTATCGTGTATACAGTATGGGACAGATAGTAATCTTACCTGCACCTGGAGTAAAGGAAGATTAACATTTATCAAAACTACATATAAAATAATGTAAGTAACATATGGATATAAGTTTTTAATATTTATAATTGTATCTTAGAGGTTTTTTTAACTACTGTTTATTACAGATTTTCTTTCTTTTTATCAAAGCACACAAAAGATTCAGTAAGTTATGAATAAACCAGTCCAAAGCTCTCATGATCACAAAGGCCAGTTATAGCTTTAAAGAGGCATTTTTATTTACATTTGTATATGCTGTACAACAGTAATTCAATTATTTCTGGGTTAAGCAGTTAAAGAGTATATACTGAGACACATCTCCCTTTTTGAAAACAGATGTTTAATATTGGAACTTGTCTTAAGATGTCTGGTTAAACCTGATGCTTTCCCTGTGGTGWATTTTCCATTGAGTTATTCTGTGACTAGCAATACCTCCACCAGGAAGTCTAGAATGTGAGCTTGTCTCTTTGGCTCTGATTTTAGCTAAGGAGATGGAGAAGGACCACTGCTTGGAAATGCGTTAGTGTCAGTTTTGTTCAGGAACCAAGGGTGGTTCCTGACCCCCTGTGAAGACCACAGCAAACAATGAGGAAGGAGCCTCTTTTAGTTAGCCTCTTGGGATATCTTTTAATGAGAAGAGTAATTTAGGGAATCATTGCATTGAAGATGTCAGGAACTCTGCCAACAGCAACAGAAAAAAAACCTACTCAAGCAAACATATACATGGAATTAATTCATTTTGGTATTTGAAAACAGCTAGGTAGATCGAACTTATTTCCATTTTTTGAGAGGTTTCTTAGGCAGACTATTCATTTTGCTAGGCTCATTATTGCCTGTTTCCATGGACCAAAGAAGTAGCAGTGATCTTAGTATTCGTACAAAACGGTCACTGCTCTTTAATCAGAAGGAGAATATAAAGTTAAATTGCAGAAGAGTAGGAAAGTATGTGGATAATGAGTAAGGATACAGAGATATACAGCAGGACTTGCTGGTGAATTATTAAGTATTTAACAAAATATAATCTTATCTGATTTAAGCAGAAAGATCAGAAAGGCTAAATAAGTTATCCAATGCAATGRGATGAATGATAGATTGAAATAAAAGTCATGTTTGAAGTCAAGCCATCTGACTCTTAGATTACAGATGCATTAAATAKTTAGACTACTGACTACTGTATGTAAATAAGACCATAACCATCCCAGGTTCTTGGATGCCAACATCTATGCTCAGTTATGAAGAAATACCAGGTWACTGCTATATTGTGAAAAAAAGCATACTCCTATATTTGCAGCTTAATGGAAATCCAGAAGTATTCATTTTGTCTGCAGTTAAAATCAAAAACACCTTGCTGTCAGTTTAGCATAGAGGTGTATTTATTATAAACATAGTACTTCAGCTATTTTGAAAGTACTTACTTGAGCACAAAATGTRTATTTTCCATCTCAATTTGAAGGGGGAAATGACCTCATTTTCAATAGAATGGTCCTTCACTTGAMAGGCAATTTTCTTACAAGCTGTTGGAAGAGTCACAGTCTCAACAAATACAAACAAACAAACGTAGTTTTATGGGAATCAGATGCCCCTGCATCTGGGGAATCTGGCTTTCACAATGCATGGAAAAGTATTAACCAAGAATTTTCCTTCTATTCTAGGCTATCAAATGGGACTGATATGTTATGTTTTTCAGAAGAAAATGTCACTAATAAATCTGGCTTGCTGGTTCTGAACATAAATATGAATTTTAACTCCACGTACACAGTTGTGGTTGCTGCCTCCAATGAACTAGGAAAAGCTTTTTCACAGCCATTCGTGTTCATGTTAATAGACATAGGTAAATGCAATGCTTACCTCCTTTCAGTTAGTCCTAGGTGTTAAAGAGATGGAAACCATTTAATCACTATAATTTAAACCTGAAGTGCCTGATCTAATTAGCTTGTTTCTCTCATGTTCCATTTAATCCTACATTTCTAATTATGCCGCATGTCTAAGTGCTGTTTTCTTGTTTGTGTTTTTGCTGCCAGTGGAACCACATCCTCCCAATTTTTTAGTGAAATTTGAGAATTCTTCTGCAACAAACTGCACAGTTTTTTGGGGTGATGAAGCACAAGCTCGGCACTTTAAACTAAGATATCGTTCACTTAACAGTTCCATGTGGAATATGGTAATTCTATTTTTTAAATAAATGAAATTGTGATCCTTGGAGGTTGCTAAATTTTAATACTGCCAGTACGAGTCCATTTTCTTTTTACTAGATTCAGTTTGTTCAAATTATCCTCTCTGTTCAGCAGCATCTCATAAGAAAAAAACTGTTAGTCAGAAACTCTCCCTTTGTTATAAACTGAGTGAAAGCAAAACCCTGACCATGTAAGGGGCCATGTGCATGAAGATTTTTCCTTATGTCAAATGATGGGTGATGCTCTGAAGAGCTTATGTTTGAAGCAGTCTCTTATTGAAATAAGATAATTTCTTCTAATTGTAGCTCAGGACTACAGGCATAGTTTCCACATGCTTGTGCCTTCTCTAGTGCCTATGTTTTTTTTTTTTAAAGGGTGAGAAAAGTTATGTAAACTTGTTATGTAAATATGATAAGTTACAAAGTTCTGAAAATATGTGAGCAGAAAATGTATTATCTTCATATAATTAAATGAAGGATTTTTCGCACAAAGAACTGCAAACCTAAGACTTGTTGTGATACAATTTGAGTTTGTAAAGTTGTTTTAGATTAGTTTCCTTTTTTTTTTTTCTTTCATTGACTCCTTTCTTAAGACCTGTCAGTTTCTTAATTTTGGCTTTGTAGGGGCATTMGTAGTTCAGCCTATCACTGTCTTCAATCTTTTTATTTCCTTGTGAGTTTATTGTTTTATGTCCTTTATCTACATTAAAGGTTGAAAGTTTAAACAGTGAAAAGTGCAATCTTTATGGTCTGGAGCCTTACACAGAGTACGAATTCCAGGTTAGTTGTAAAATTCACCCTGAGAGAGGTCTCTGGAGTAACTGGAGAACTCTTCAAACCCGGACCCCAGAAGCAGGTAATAAAATATGTGATCTGTTACACTAAGCCTGTATCTGAAGTTTACATAAAGAGTAGATTTTAACTAACAAATTCAGAATGCTAGTAGTTTTTTCTTCCTGGTTAGAACTATCCAAAAATCCCAGACCCAGAGCCAACAGGGAAGTAAAATTTCTTAATGATTAAAAAATATGTTCAGATTTCTTACTAAACTAAACAGGAATTTCAAGAATCTATTAAGGTAAGTCTGATGAATATATTCTTCTAACACTGTTAGAAGTTAGAGATTTTTTTTCTTATTGCCTGGAGCCATAGCAGCCTGCCACATTGCCATACATCTGCGAAGGCAGAGAAAGCCTGTGCATTTCAGCTGGGAAAAGAAAAATACTGTGTATCAGTTTGCATGTAAGCATTTTACTGAATTCCTCCACAGTCCCATACGTGAGTCTGGACAACTGCCTTGTGAACCTCTGCTGCTGGTGAAGCTCAAGCTGGGAAGTGCCCTCCTGTTTCTAGAGCTCACCAGGCAACTTGCTGAGAAGTCAAAKGAACTGGCCGGAAAACTGCCAGGGTTCTCTCGGTTCTGTTGCGGTTGACAAGTTATAACAAAACAGAATGGGTTTTGGCCAGTCATCTTTTTTCAAGTAGAAAAGCTTTTCAGACAGAATTCCCAAGCGTCTCCTTCCACAAAGCAGTGGAGATTTGTGTACTTTTAATAGAGCAAGACCTGGGCGCGTGTTCCAGAGACCAACTCCATCTCAGTCGAAGATGAGCACGTAGCATTCCTACCTCTTGGAATGCAGAGCAGATTCCAGGGAACACATAGCATGAACATGAGGACAATTAGAGCAGCCTGTGCCAGGGCTAATATTAGATGGCTCAGGTTTGCTGCAGGCTCGYGTGTCCGCTTGCCCAACCTCACACTGAGCTGCGTGAAGTCACGTGCTGCAAAACTTTCAATTCTTGTGAAAGAAGAAAGCTTCTCAGAAGTTTGTTTTAACACAGACGAGTTGGCTTTTTTGGCATCCCTTCCTTTCATCTCCTACTTGGCTTTCATCGTGCTCTTTTGTGAATTACTCTAAGATTTGCAGGCTCCTACTGTTATTACTCATGTTATTTACCACTACTGACAGCATCAGTTTCTGTAAGAAGCATTGATTGATACAGAAGGTGTGAACTTTTCCGTCCCTCCCCCATCTTCCTCTCAACAGTTTTCTTACCCTTTCCGATGCACTCTGGGTTGCTATGGTATTTGTGGTCATCACCCCTTTTCAGCCAGTGGTGCAAAGAATCCCTTCAGCTAATCAAGAAGTATTTTCTGCTCCCAAATTATAGGAGAGCAAGGTGAAGTTGCATAGGAAAAAATCTAGGTACATCACAGTTGATCTGCTTTAAATAGCTCCAGTTCTACACATGAGTTTGACCTTTAGCAAATTCAGGAATATACCTTTTAATAAGATAATTCTTTTCATGCTTCTGTAGACCTGACCTGCCACAAAACTTGCTCTATGCAAGCAGCGATGTAAAATGAGTGGGGGATTTTTTTTTTCCCTTGCGACTGATTTGTGTAATTCACATGTGAAATGAACCCTAAAAGCTGGGTTGGAATGCAAGGGATGCASTCTGAGCATCTTTTTTTCTCTTTCTTTGTCCTTTTTCTTTTCTTTCTCTCTCTCCCCCGGTGACTATATTTAGGTTTTATTTTTAACGTGGGTCCTACTTTTTATTTTCTATTGCAGTCATTATTTTGCAGTTGATAAAGGAGAAAATTTTTCATGTTGCTGGTGTTCAGGCATTAAATTTAGCACACAGCAGACAGTCCTTGTCCCTTTCTAGTCAGGACTGGGCAATGATGAACTGTTTAGRTTATTAGTAACCTAATTATTATGTGCATTTGGTGAGTTTGTTTTGCTCGGGGACCTTGAGGAGCCAAACTTTATTATCTTCTGTCACACTGACATTCTTTATATGTCTCTATCTGATTCTGAAAGCTTTGAGCACGTTTTTCACTAGTTTTTGCAGTCCAAAGTTCACTTTTATGTTATTTTGGAAGATTTATTCAAAACTGAAGGGCTCAATCAATTTCAAATAGTCTAAATATATTAGGGCTTTTCAAGGAGCATCGTCCTTTAACTGGCAGCGCCCCCATCCTCCCCCTCCCCTCCCCTGCACTAAGGTCCCTAATTAGCTCAAATTTTGCACAAAGTTTGGAGTTAATCTTCCACTTGGGTTTATAGGCTTCCCTGTAAACCATTCTGATTACTTAGTGCAGAATAAAGTCAATGACAGAGTATAATCCTGTCTTATTCTTCTGCTTTGTTCTCTTTGTGATTACCTGGTTATATAGGCAATCATCAAAGAGCTGAAAATTAACCATAATAGAACATATGGACTTAAAATAAAAATACATCAACAACAAGAAAGTAAAGACTGTAGTCTTTAGTCTGCACATTACACTGTTTCAGAGACATTTTAAATGTCAATTGTCTCAGGATTTTTACCCCTTTACCTTATTCAATATTGTGATAATTTGTTTCCTAGAAAAGTCTTAATTCTGCTTCTTGATTTTCCTTTTTTTTCAACCAGTGCCTGCCCAGCTCTCAGATGTTTGGTACAAAAAGCAGGATATGAACTCTCAAGTGCAGAACATTTCTCTTTTTTGGAAGGTAAGTTGTTTAAGTAAAATCTAAGCAAATGCTTGTGTTGAGCAAGTTTAGAGGGGGAACCATATTTCATGTGTTTATAGTAAAGCACATAAACCAAAGACGGCACAGGCTATTACCACTGTTTTGTCCTGTGATACGGAAGAAACCAAAGACTTTCCTCACTGTGCTAAATTCATCAGGCCTTTCTTCTGCAGAGGTTCCCTTTAAACTGTCCCTGAGCTTTCTGTCATCCTGGAAGTATGACATGCTCCCAGCTTATCTTTTTAATGAATGGAGATTACATGTGGTAGACAAAGTGGAAGTGACACAGAGTTGCCATTTTTTTTTCCTCAAAAATGTGGATTCCTCTCCCATTTTCTGCACCCTGACCTGATGATATATATAAAGGCACAGATAACAGCTTTTCAATCTTTTAAAATTTCTTTCCAATTAATAGCTCTCCCTTCTCATTCATTGATTTTCAATTTCATTTTCGATTTCAATTAAAGCTACATCTTTTCTCCRCAACAGTGAGCACCAGATTATAAGTAAAAACTTTAAAAATCTTCAGCAATTCTTACGTTCTTAGSAGCGGTTGCCATAGAGAAACACTAGCAGGACTGCAAATACAGGAAGGAAGGGGACAACRTGCCCTCTCTTCTCCAAGTGCACGCAGCTTCTGAGTGTGCTCTTGACATAATCTGTGAGGGTTTGTTCTTGCATGAAGATCCATGAGCAATGAAGAACAGGGGAGTAGAAGAGGTGATTTGTTGTAAAAGCCCTTAAAGGTGACGGACCAAACCCCGGAAAACAGTTAATAGCTGCATACGCTTTGGGCAGCTGTTACTGTTCTGTCCATGTTTCTGCTTTATTAATGATCCATTAAATCCCTCGTCATAACTCGGTACCAGGAAGAATTTGTTTTTCTGCACTGGTAGTGGGCAAGCCTCATGCAAAGCTCAGTGTGGGGCATAATAAAGCTGCAGCTCTGAAACTGGACCAAGCTGGAGCAACTGTTTGTACACAAAAGCGGCAGGAAAACAGGTTGTGTTTGGGTCTGCTGTGCAGAGCCTCCTGAAAGGTAATCTCCAAGACCTTGTACTGAGTTGGTGGTGCCCCACATGGAAAGGAGCTTCAAAAGAATTCGTCTTTAAATCCAGTTAAACTGTAGATGAAAAATTGTGCCTTATTATACAATTTAGAGGAATAGGCTTATGATAACTTCCACAAAGAAAGCRTGTCTTTAGGCAGTGAAGAGCTATAAGTGACATCCTTGTACTCACAATTCTGAACTCAGGTATAGCAGTAACAGATTGGAGTCATGGCAGAGGGAAGCAAGACARCCACCAATAAATAAAAATGTGTCCTCTTGCTTGGGATGCAGAAGGATGCTCCTTGTTGCATCCTTTCTGGGGAACTGATACAGGCAGCCAGTGTCATGCTAGGTGCCAGCAGAGTGTCACTGTTACTACAGTCCAGCACACAGAGGCCAGGATTTTAGAGGGATCTTCCCACCGTGGGTTGTTACAATGTCTTTTTTGTTGTTTTGTTTTACAAAATGAACTTTTTGTTTTGTTTTGTTTTACAAAATGAACATTTTTTTTTTACTTTTTTAATAAGAAAAGATAATTACCTTTGATTTCTTTTTTTCTGTCTCTAGTTAACCTCTTTATCTTTTCTCCACAACACCTAGCCCTGGAGTATAAGCGAAAGCAGAAATCACCAGTTGTGGCTTTAAGATGTAAAACTTGCRATAGCGAATTGATAGCACTTTCTTTATCTTACCAGACTTCCTGTGGTGTCATTCATAAAATGGTTATGACATTTTAAAGTTTTTATAACAGGTACAAAGCAAAAGATATAGACTTAGTATAATGTAAAAGTATTATATATTTTGTATTTTCACATCAATTTTTAAAAAAGTACAAAATAAAAGCCCTATTGCCAAATTAGTTTCAGCATAGTTTCAGAAGATTTTTTCAAGTGTTGTTTTGTCCTAAGAAGTCACTAAGAAAGTAGTTGAAAAACTGCAAAGATTTTACTCTTTTTAAAAGTGTTTTTCCCACTTTTTAACTTTTTATTTATTTATTATTGAAAAAAGAACAGCCGAACAAACTCTCTGCACAAAGGAAACTGAAACCAGTAGCACAAAGTGTGCTTTAAGGTGCCCAGAGTGGAAAAACAGCTGTAGGTGTTACCTGAAACCGAGTAGATTAAGAGTTTTCCGAGAGAAGTGTATTGTAACTTCCAAAATTTAAACAGTTTCTTATCTCATTTTTTGTTACTAATTTGAATGTTRTCAGAATCAAAACTTGTTCATTTTCACAAATCCAGTTGTACAATTAATACTTTTTTTTTGCCCCTTGAGAAAAGTATGATTGAACCCAAGGAGAAAAGGAGCATGTTTCAGTGTCACCAGCTACGTTGCTGGTTAGGAGATGAACAATTCAGCAACAGAAGAGTTTCAATAAATTGAACAGGAAAATAAATGAGAATTAAAAAGAAAGATATGTAACCTTAAAGGAGAATCTCAGGTAATGTGTGTTCTTATCACTTCCATCAGGAAGTATATCAGTTACAAATTTTGCTTGCACGTGATCTAAAACAGCAACCAGATCTGAAGATATCCAGCATTACACAGATACAGGTGCTAACAAATTTAACAAGGGAGAAATTCCAAGGGCCCCGCTTGGACCTTGGATGGAGGTTCAGCCGTCAAACACAGGACGTCTGGCACGGGACACAGCTCGAGGTGTGTGCAGGGAGGCATTGGGTAGCACTGTTACATGAGGCCCTGGAGAGGACAGGAGTGCGTGAGGGGCTAACGGCTCCCCTGAGCAGAGATGGGGTGGGAAAGGCTGGGGCTTGGGGACACGGACGACCCAGAGAGGAGCAGCTGGGGATCTACTGTCAGGATGGAAAATGGAGAGCACAGGCAACAGGGTCTGCAAAGGGAGAAACTGCAGCCAAGAGTCAAAATCTTCAGGAAAACAAAACCAAACAAAAGAACATGTTTTYAGTCATAAAAGTACTGTTTGTTTATGTAACAGCATTCTCCAGTGAGTACTAATGGGAAACTACCCTACATTTAAAGTGCATTGGCTGCAATTCAGTCACCTAATTTTTAGCTTAAAACAATCAATATAGTTCTGAAAAGCAGACTCAAGAAGTGAGGACACAGTTCCTATAGCACTGCTGTGTTTCCTCCAGCTGGGCACTGCTGTGTTCCCTTTTCCAGAAGGGAAAAAAAGTAAAAACTGATAATTYGTTACCAAAGAACATTAGTTGGTATGTGTTATCTTCCAGCAAGTAACATTGCCTCTATCAATAGCTTCTTTATTATTAGACCAAAAAAAAAAAAGAAAAGGAAGAAAAAAAAATGCCTTCAAGTGGAAGTTGTTCACCTAAATCAGGCAGCTTGGGCACCTGCGTTAGGGCGATGCTTTGAACCCATCCTCTGCCAYGGTGCAGAAGGCTTGAGGAGTTCCAGGGGAACAGGTGTAGGCCCCTTTTGGAAGGGCTGGTAGTAATAGGGTGAGAGCATGCAGCAAGCCAAGGGCTCCTTCTGACCAACTGACTATGATCAGCAGCTTCGGGGAGAGAAGGAAGTGGGGGCTTGGACTAAACCCTTTCCTGGAAAGGAATTAAAATGTGTTGACTCAGTATTGCCAGGAAATGCCAAGTCTCCCAACACAGAAAGTCCTGAGGTTTGGGTCAGCATCAAGTTAATGAYTTTGTATGGAGAAAATTCCATGGGTATCATTTGTTGGGAATTGTACCTTGGATGGACAAACTGCAGTCTAAAGTGAGCATGTGCTTTTAAAAGCCAGGAGGGTTTATAGGTGTAATACAAAATCCCTTTTRTGGTAGTAAGCAAATGTATAAACAGATGAAATAGTTCACGACTACTCTGCTACCTAAATAAGCCAGTCACTTTGTTAGTGGCTGTGAAATGTCTTTTATTGCTTATTTTGCATTCACCACGTGTGTCTTCTGTAGTGAGCTGCACTGTGCACAGGCTGTTTTGTGTTCATTGTGCCGAGAGATGGCAAACCTCCTGCTAACAGCTACCCGGCAGTTTTCAGGAACCTAAACCAGCAACCTTGCCCCAGGGCTGAAATTTTTCAGGCTGGGTACTCTCAGGTCAATCAGTCAGTTGTCTACAATGCGTTCTTAATGTTTTCTTTTTGTCTTTCTTCCAGTCTTTGATCTTGGCAGTAGAATATATATATATATATATATATATGTAAGTTATATATATATATAAAAAAAGTTTTTATATGTAATATATATATGTATTTATACATGTTTTCTTTGCAGGCTTTAAGCAAGTCAGAAGCAAGAGGAAAAATCCTGCAGTACACAGTGACCTTTGAAGCACTAAACCGCACTCCCAAAGCAATAGAAACCAATGTTACCGTGCAGACCAGTTACTCCAGAGTCACTCCAAAGATGGACTACAGCATAACCATCACTGCCCGTAACTCCAAGGGCAGCTCCCCTCCCGCCGCCCTTGTGACCAAGGTGACCGCGCAGGGTAAGGACGGTCGCCGGGCATGGCACTAGAAATAAAAGAGGGCAGGAATATTTCTCTGATGCAAGCAAGAGAGAGGGTGGAGGCAAAGGCTGAAGATGACGAGTGCTGGCGAGGGGGAACCGCAGCTCCATGAAGTTCAGCTGCCAGAAACTTGCACACCACGTTGCACGCCTGCAGCAGAATCAGTGAGCGTTAACTGAACTTGTCTGGCCACAGATGTCCTATGCTGACAGCCTAGCCAGCCACAGAAGAGTCTCCCAGTAACCAGACGGTGTGTTTAAAGATGAGTCTGCTAATTGTCCTGGAGTGACATAAGTCATAATAAAACACTTTCAGAACACATTGCTAAATATTGCTTAGCCAGTGCAGCATCAGACATCACTGAGATGCACTCACTCCTTCGAAGGCAGATGGCACAGCTCACACTGCACAGTGCATTGATTACATGAGTCCTTTGGGTAGGCAGCCTGCGTGGGGAAAGAGACTGATTCAGGAATGTAACGGGTACGTGATTATTTGTTTGGAGGGAGTCAGATGAGAACTGCACTGGGCAGTTCTGTGGGCACAGTGCAATTTCCTCCAAACTGGAGAAAACTCAGTAAATACTACTACTAMTAATAATAAAAGATTGTTTTAAAAGTTTAAAAGTTGTTTTATATATGTAAAAAAAAAGTATATAAATTATATTATAAATTTATATATAGAAAACAACTAATAACRCCTTATACTCACGTATAACATGTCAAGTAAAGGACATGTCAGGCAAGTTTGTACTGATGGGGTATTTTGTTGCTTGGTTATTCTTGCTGCCTTTTAAGATTTACCTTCTCCACGGAATGTCTCTGCTATCGCAATGGGAAACAACAGCATCTTAGTCATCTGGAAACCTCCCATTAAGTCTACAGCATTCCTCAATGGATACATAGTGGAGTGGATAGATATACATAGAAACAGGAGCCTGGAATCCCACCCAAACTGGATAAAACTTCTAGCATCCAACCTGTCTGCAGTAATATCAGGTAACTACAGCTTAGAAGTAGGAGATATATATATATATATATATATATATATATATATACACACATATATATATATATCTTTTTAGAAGCTTTTTTATAAGAGGTGGGTCAAATTCTGACTTTTATGAGATTAAAGCTGTTTTATGGGGCAGAAATTTGATTGTTGCAGTTCAGCAGTTGGTCACAAGTAAATTTTTTTTTAATCTGGTAAATAGAAAGTCTGTCTTTCATTCTCTATCCGTCCTCCCCAAAACCAAGCCCTCCCTAATGAAACAAAGCGGACAGATAAACCTCAGAGATCAAATGCTTAAGAGTTTTTCTGTTTTAACAGTTGTTGATGATTAATCTGAACCAGTACTGAGGTATCAGTGTTCTTCATACCAAATAGCCATAAAGTTATGATTAGGATGCAGGGAGCATTACCCTAGCTAGTCTCTCTGATGTTCTGTTCCACAGCTATGCCTATAGGGCTTTTAAATTCTTGCTCTTAAGCAAGCAGGGAAGGGRAAAAAAAATAAAAAACCTACTTATGACATCATTTTGTATTGTGCTTTGAAGAGGAGAAGAACAGGTTACTGTCCGTCTTCATAACCCACAGGGTACTTGGGAAGAGGATGCTCATAAGAATTATGAGGAAGAACTCAGGTGTCATTCTCTTGTGGCTTTTATGTTATCTTGTACAAAGCAAAATGCTGCATATCTTATCTTTGCTATTACACAAATTCTTACTTGCAAGAGTGACCCAGGATTTTCTCTGGATAATTTTTTTTTAACTTCTTTCTGAATTAAAAGAAGCTTCCCCTCAGCTCTAACTTGYTCTCATGAATAGCTTAGCCATGACTGTAAATACATTACAGATAACTATCCACTTTTAATCTCTTTTTTTAGAGCACATAAAAGATCATGTGTGCTATCACATTGCTGTATCTGCACTTTATCAGGACCGAGCTGGGGAAGTGGCATCAGTTAGGGGATACTCAAGAGAAAAAGGTAAATCATAGTCATTCTTTTAAATATTTTAAGACAGCTTAAATAGTTCGGCTTTAAAAGCTGGTCTTATGTTTTGTAGCACCATCAGTTGGGCCCCAGATGTACCCAACCCTGCAGACAAATGGCATTTTGGTTTCATGGGAAGAAATCCCTGCCAACCAACAAATGGGCTGCATTACAGAGTACAATATCTACCTCCAAAAACAAGACAGCAAGGCAGCTCCAGAGGTCTACAGTAGGTATCAGCTTAAAGGGATGTGTATGTGTCTTGTGTGGGTGGGAGAGGGAAGGGGAAGAAAGAGGATTCGTGAAGTTCTGTATAGACTAGGATTTAGAGCATTCTAAATTATCCTTAATCTCAAACATAAAGATTTCTCCACATTTTTTCCTTCCAATTATTTACTTAAATTATAACCAATACAGCCCTTTTTAATTACCAGCGCAGTAAAATAACAGGCTTTCTGAGAGCCATCTTCAGCAAATGCAGACATACTGCGAGATAGATCTGTCAGCTAGTATGCACCGCATTCCCATATGTGCATGTTTCACCCWGTGAGTCCTCTCTTATGACGTCCARATAGCTTCCACACTGATCATTTTTTCAAAATTTTATTCAGGAGTTTCGTAGCAGTTTTTAATAGATGGTTCATAGCTCCAACATACAATCCGCATTTTAGACTTGGACATTACCATAGTGAAAACACAGGATATCCAGKCATCTGTGTCTGTTCAATTCCATGCAATTGTTGAAGTCTCTCAACAAGCCAAATGGTTCGAAGTCTCCCTTGGCCTTTCTAATGATTCACTAAAGTAGCAAAGCAGCATTTACGTAAAGTAGAAGTCATTCCATGTTCCTTTCTTAATTGTTTTGGGGCCGTGGGGGGTCCCACAGTAGGGTGGGAACATGGGGAAGAAAAGGAAGGAAATGAAAGGCACTCCCATACATAAAATAAACCTAATAATAGGCTAGGAGAAGCCTAACAAAACAACAAAATCTCTCTTGCTTCTAAACAAGACATATTTATGACTTTATATGGCCTGGAAAAGAAAGTAAAAAGAGCAAATAGACAATTATTATGTAATGTTGTTTTATTGTAAAGAGGCTAGGTTTCAGCCCTGAAAGAAAAACACAGCCATATCAATAAATAAGGGCCTTTTCTTTCCGTTCCCCCGCCTCCATACATGTGTATGTTTTATTCCAATGTGTTAAAAAAAAAAAAAAAAATCCATGCTATGAGCTATTTAGGGGGAGACAGCCTATTGCTCCCTTATCTGGAGACTGAGATTTCACCGCTTTGTTCCTGACAGAGCTCCATTACAAAGTGAGGAGAGCAGCACCCTTTGGTATGCTGCAAGAGCGAGCGTGTTAAACACGCCAGGAGTGTGTGCTGGATGTTCCTCTGGTTCTCCCTCTCTTCCTTTCAGCCGTTCGCAACCTCACTGCCCGACGTTCATTTTACATCGCAAATCTACAAGCTGGCGAGAACTATTTTCTGTGGATGACAGCGTCAACTGCTGCTGGAGAGAGTCCCCGGGGAAACAGYGAGATCGTCTGCTTGGAAAGTACGGAAGCTGGGGAGAGGGCAAGGGGCCGGGGGCAAGGAGTCCTGCCCCTTGGCCCAGTGGAAACGCTTTATGTGCTACKCTTTAATTACTGCCGAACTCCAGTTTCAGCTGCTTCGAAAACATAATGTATCATTTTTTTGTCATCAAGCTCCCAATTTTCTGCCAAGAAAATATTAGCTGTATAGTTAAGAATGGTAGTTTAAGGCTAGCAGAATAGTTTTTCGCAGGCAGGGCTTACCTTTAACACAGCAAAACAAAACTGCTATCAATAGTTTCAACAACTTCAGTTTGAGCTGACCCCCATGCAGCTGGGGAAAAGCATTTGGTTTTCAGGCTCCAAGCTGTGCAAGTCCAGCTATTCATCTCCCCACTTGGAGCCCATCTTCTCTGAGTAACCATCTGAGAAACCTTCTCATGGACAGCAGGAGGAGGGGAGGGAGAGTACTAGAGAGGAGCAGCAATTGCCTATTGTAGGGGTTGGACTAAATATCACAGGCGATAATGTTAGAAATTCTTTAATAATAATAGTAATAATAATAATAATGTTTTGGTATGTTTTATGCTTGCAAACACTAGCCAAACCATGTCTGTAGGCCAGTTTGAACTAGCACCTTGCAAAGTTGGCTTAGTTACTAGAGATGAGCAGCAGGTGTTGTGGGTTTCAGGTGCTGGGGACTGGCTCAGCGTGGTGCTTGCCGGCTGCCTGCTCCTCCTCCCGGCCTGCGTGTGTGCGCTGCCTCCAGCACGGAAGGCGTGAGTAGCTGCGGGCTGCCCTCCCCTTCCAAACGCCGTGGGGAAGGGGCACCTGGCTTAGCGACTGTTTCAGGACATCTGAGGAAGAGGGAGGATTGGGCTGGAGAAAGGGTTCAAATTACATGAATAATAACACATATTGTGCTTGTAATATGTTTATATATTTCATGCCTATTAGGAAATTTGAAGTGGGACCCTAAATCCTGGCCACTAAACTGAAATAGAAGGTACCATCCTTGGGAACCCATTCCCCTGGGGAATGAAATTAAGGCCTAAGACCACGGCCTGCTGGTACTGATTTTTTGGAGTCAGTTCTGTCAAAAAGGCTTGAACTGAGTAAAACCTGGCAACACAAACGACCGGGCAGTGGAATAGTGTATGGCCTCAAAGCAGGCTAGTAGCCATAAGCACTAAAATTAATTAATTATTTTTAAAAAAGGAAGCAAATAGCTATATTGTCTAAGCAAAAACCTAGCCCCTTCAGCACATGTCCCTGGTAACCTCTGCAGGATGCCACGCAGCCCGAGTTTCTGCTGGTCCGAGCCAAGGCAGCCATAGTTGCCCAGGACTCTGTGGTGGTTAAATGCCCCAACAGCACAGTCCAGTTCACTCACACTTGCAGATACTGGCAATGGAATTCATGGTTTAATTATGTTTGATTTGCAGCTTACACTTGCTCCTTTCTGTCATCGCACCTCAGTGGTACGGCAAAGCTATTCCCAGCCCTGCCAATGCTTCATGGGCTAAGAACTACACATCTGTGAAGGTAAATTGCACTGTTTTTTCTTCTAATGCTACCACTCTCAAAAAAAAAAAAAATATATATATATATATATATATATCTCAAAGTTATGCAAGACAGTAATATCTCAATGCAGCATTTTCTGATAGTGGATAATGGCTGAATCTTTTAATCAAACTTTTATGTGAGATTGTGGTTACCTCTCAAGCAAATGAAATGCAAAAACAATACAGAGATTTTTCATTCTTGGCAATATTACATGTAATGCTGAAAGATATTTGCATTTTGAAGGGGGGGGGGAGTGTCAGAAGACACTCATTGCATAATTACTCATCACTGCTGCACGTGTACCCATATACCAGGGTGAGCTGAGTTTACCTCCCAGTCCGTTTCTCCCCAACGTGAGCAGCTTTGAAGAGCCTGAAATAACAGAAGTGGAGGAAACCTTCATGCAGCCAGACAGCCCCATTCTCCAGGACAAAGTGCCCCTCAGCAGGAGCCATAGCAGCGGAGGGCAGGGCTGGCACCTGGGAAGCAGCTTTGAGACCCAGGACGGGGAGTACGAGCCTCTCCCCAGCACGACCGATGGAGACGGTTATGAGCAGCAGCTCCCATACCTGTACAGGAAGATAGTAGCGGAGGTGACGGGGCAAATGCAAACCTCAGACTACCTGGCTAACCCCTCTCCAGAAGCTCCGGCCTCCCTGCCCTCGGCTGCACTGTCACCCGGCACAGCCACGTGCGAGGACTACAATCTCGACTGCAACCCAATCTCCATTTTCCCACCGACTGCATTGCTGACATCAGTATTTTCCTACGGAGGGAGACTCACGCTGGATACAGTAAAAATAAACCRCACTTCCTTCACGAGGTAGGGTGCCAGGGTGGTTTAACAGCCTGGCATGGTTTTTCGCACTTTAGCGAGGCACTGCAACACGTGTTTCAATGCAGCCAATACAGCACCTTGTACGTGATACCTCTTMCTGAAGTGACAGAACTCAGCGACCTTGCCAGCATTGTCTTTACAGAACAGGAGCTGTGTAACGCAGATCACACAGGCAGGACTGCGGGCAGCTCTGGTGCTAGCAGTGCTCGGGACCCGTCTCCTGCAGGGATCACAGCCACGGCGCCCCCCCCCCCGGCTTTGTCCCGACACAAGGGCTCGCCGCTGCCGGCCCCTTGCTCCGTGTCACGTCCAGGGCAGTGCGCCGTGGCAGCCACGCAAGCCTCAGCACTTGACCACAGCACGAGACCGGCTGCAGCCCGTTCCCCTGCTGCACACAGCAGGTTTGAGATGCAGCAATTGGAAATCTGCATTAACTGCTGCTAAATCTGTGTGCTGCAGCCCCAGCCGATACATTAGGGCTGAGCTGAAATGAATGCAAAGCGGTAACTGCGGCTTTCCGTAACCACACAGGTGCCCCGAGCCAACGTGGGCACCCAAGGGCGCGTAGCCCTTGGATGGGCAGCAGCCCTGAGCTGCTCCAGCTGAGGCTGCCCTTGTGGCTCGGGTGAGAAAGGCAGAAGGAATCTTGCCCAGAGCAAAGGGGCAGCACAGGCACACAGCGAGGCAAAGGGGCTGCTGAGGAGAATTGGAATCATTTATTGAAGTATTCCAACTGCAGAGTTGAAGCATCTGTTACACATTTAATGACTTTATTTGGTGTATGCATGTGTGTGTGTGTATAAATATATATATACACACACACACACACACACACACACACACACACATACATATATAAATAAAATCCTGGAAACACAGAATTTTTCCTGCTATTTTTCTCCAGTCAACTTCAGGCTCCATGCTGCAGCTTCCTGCAGAATAAAGTGCTGCTTTTAAAAATAAAGTACGTGCTTTGCCACGAGAGCTGAGGCAGTTCAGATTTTGACCTTACCTTGCATATTTCTTTACCTCCTTTTACTCAGGTTTGAGATTGTTGGTTTCCATCCAAGGCAGGTAACACAAGCCACAAAATGAGTGGCATAAGGCTGGTACTCAACACGTGTGACACTTCCATCTGAAACAATTCCGCTTAAAAGCTGTGCTCTAAATGCCCGAGGAAGTGGCCTTTAGGCACCTGCATATGTATTCTGTTAACGAATACTTGGAGCAGGAGACTGCTGCTTCAAAGCTGTAGCTTTTCCCACTGCATCTGACTTGGAAGAAAATAAAACAAAAACACTAACAGGAACGGTTGCATCAGAGAGACTTTTTTTTTTTGCTTGTTTTCCTCTAGTTTTTATTCCAGTCCAGCTGTGCTATCTTCTACAATAGCTCCATAAACTGACACTGGCYGCTCAAAGATGCAGTACAACAACGTTGTGGTTTTTCAGTTGAACATGCTGCCCTCTAGCAAGTGTGCAAACAGCTCAGGAGCTCGAGTTTTACACATACACCTGCATGGTGAAGCTGCCTCTGTAGCAGATGGCAATTATGAAAGCAGTTGTGTTTATTGGTTTTTAAGGTCCCGACCATTTGGTCTTAGGAAAGCAACATTTGAGTTCCCCACTCTGGCTTCTCTTATGCAGAGCAGACAATGAGGGAGGATGCTCACCGTGTTTCATTTCAATTAGCACAATAATGGACCACAAGTAACTAACCCAGCGCTTCTCAAACCTTAAATTGTCCAGAGTTCTGCTTCTCTTCATTGAAAACAAAATGAAATGATCAACAGCAATTTAGCTGCCATTAGATTGAGGATTGATTGATTCCTACCTAGGACAGTCGCCCACCTCTGGGAACGAGGTGACAGCTGGGGCCCCACATCAGCGAAGGGGTCTGGAATCGCGGGTGCAGCCCGGCCATCAAGCAACTCTGACCCCATCGTGCTCAAAAACTGCTGCAGAGGTCAAGGGCGCTGCAAAACGTGGCATTCCCTCACAAACAGCTACGTCTCGGAGCTACAGATGGAACCGCGGGACAGGAAAACGGCCCTGACAGAGCAACTGCTGGTCAGGCAGCTCTGYATTGAGCGCAGAGGGAGGTCCTCCCGGGAGGAAGCCGCCTAGGCAGAGGCATGCACACCATCCCCGCAGCTGGGCTCGGGCCTGGCTGGGCTGCTCCGCGCGCCGGGGCTGCTCCGAGCTGTGCGGCGGCCGCAAGCGCCAGTGCAAGGAGCTCCAGCTCCTCAGCGGGCCACGACCCACTGCCACCAAGCCCAAACGAGGGGCTGTTCTCACACCACAGCCACTGCGAGGTTTAACTCCTGCCAAGTGGCTCGGCAGTCCCTCACGGAACACCCTCGCTGCCCGCTTCACACTCCCTCGGGCTAGAAGCTGCTTTAGAAGGAAATTCCAGAGACCCAAATAGGGGCCCGGGCGGCTCCTGCTGCAGGCGGAGGCTGYGCCGGCACCAAGGGCTTGCTCGGCCGGTCCACCTGCGGCTGTGAGCGCCGCCCGGCCGCCCCGCGCAGCCRCTCTGCTCCTGCTGTGGAGAGCGTGCGAGCGCTGTGCTCGGCGCCAACAGGACGAGCGTCGCAGAAAAGGGCGGTTCAGCAGCGCGCCACGAGCCGCCTGTGCAGCGCAGCCCTCCTCGGGTCCTCATCCAGACCCYGCCAAGCTGCGCTGGGGCCGTCATCAAAAGGCACCGCTGCCACAGAGCCCGTAAGCACCAGCCACGCTGTCCTGCTCTGAGRATGACAGGAGTCACCCTCCACGCATTACGTTGTACAACAAAAAACACTTGGGTCCAATAGGTACAAAYCCCAGATACAACGAAACAGAAAATCCAGCCAGTGACCTCTATGAATTGAAAGATTTCATGGATGGATCCTAGCAGAGTAGATGGAGGCTACGGTACCTGCTAACGCTGAACTCAAACTCAAAGCACAGGCGGGACCAGGTCTCAGGCCACACGTGCGCTGCAATCTTGTATCAAGTTCACACATCCAACCACTTCTGGATTCKGAAGTCTTAATTGCTGGTAAAGCAGGCGAGGAAAAAAATAACAAACAAAAACCTAGAAGGTCCCACTCGATTTTCATCATCCAGGAAATGAGCAGCCCCAGCTCTACCTTCTTTCAGAAGTGCCAAGCAGGGTGAGTTTTGCACATGCTACCCAGCCAGAGGACGATAACCCTGTACCCCTAAAGACCTGCAGGGAGCTGCTCGGCCCGAGGACGGCCCAGGCAGCGGCAGCACCAGGGGCAGCGGTGTCACAGCAGGGCTGCCCCAGCGTGGCCCTGCGCAGTCAGGCTGCCCGCGCAGCAGCCGCCCCACCGGGGAGCCCAGCTTGCCCCAACATGGATGCTCTCCATCCCGGCAGTGGCTCCAGCTCCGCATTCCTCCAAGGCTTCGCTCTTGCTTGGTCAGGCCCTGAGGCCACAGCTCCATGTCCAGGCTCTCCCTCCTCGCGCAGCAGCCGCCCCATGACTGGGTTCTGCCATCAGCACCTGCAGCTGGCCACATAGCACCGAGCCAGAGCTCCAGACTAAGGGAAGCCTCCAAAAATACYCCACCACCTTGTCAGGCCTACTTCCATGCCCTGGTCTTCAGCTGCACGGGCAGCAGCACTTTCTGCTAGGCAGTCCTGAGGATTACCACTCACACACGGAATGCTATTGCACCCTTTAAGAGCTCACGCACATGCAGCCTCCAAGTCCAAGTTCCCGTGTGGATCTTTGCAGAAAATCCTAGACACTTGGCCCATTGACAGGCGCAGCACCCACGCTGCACGGCTGGGGCTCAAACAGACCCATCTCCCCCAGCGGCTGCCGCCCCCCCAGCAGAGCTGCCGTGTCTGTGGCCTCCAGCGCAGCAGCAGCTGCACCGGGACCCGCAGCGTGCAGCAGTGCAGCCCACACGGGGCTGGCGCCGGCTTCTCGGGGCTGGCTTCGCAAAAGAAGCGGGTTAGCACATGCTGCCAGCAGCAGCTTCAGGCATGTCCTGCGTTTATTGGAACAGAGGCAAGGCTCCGCACGCACAGCTCCACGGGCAGCAGGCAGTACGGGCAAGGGCAGGCGCAGCTCCTTGAGACTGTGCTTGCCACATCCACACCCACTTCTTTGGAGGAGTTGCCCTCAGAAGAGCTTGTGGCCTTTCCCCAAGGACGACACTGACATTGACCACCAGTCTTCATTCTCACCCCAGGCCAGCAGCATTCCCTCTGCAAGATGAACTTTCATGCTCAAACACTGCCATCATTACACTCAAAAGCCAATTCACATTAAGTGCTTCTCTCCATCTTTTTCTGTTGACCCTCTTTCCAAGATTGTTTGGATTTAAAAAGGTCTCAGCCTCTGGCTTGTGCAGTCGCACCCAAGCAGGAGGACAGGAAATGTCATTGAGGAAGAAGCTCCCTACGAGACAACAGCGGAGCTCCTTGGAGAGGCACTTCCCAGAGCCGGGAAGGGAAGTGCCCACCTGGCTCAGAGGGTGCTCGCCTACGTGGAGCCACGTCCACGTGTTTTCAGCACAGTTTTAAAAGAGCATGAAAATAAACCTTTATTTCAGTTAACACCCACCAATATTAAAGATAAAACTGTTCACAGTTTTCGTTCTTGACACAAATGGACTGAAAGAAGCAAATTTACATCTATGGGAACAGCAGACAGGCCCATTTTCTGTGCGAGCTTTCTTGGAGATGGTGTGTGAGGTGCCATTCGGGACACGACTCTACCTCCTAAAGTGAGAAAGGGAAAGCTCCCGCCCAGGCCAGGCCAGCCCAGAAGGAATCTGGAAGATAAAAGCTGTGTGACGACAAAGGAGTGAACACAGAGTTCGGGGGGCAGGTTTATATTACAGAGAGCTTTTCCGCAGGCGTTTCTCACCATCCAAGCCCTTGTTTAGGAGCGTTACCCGGGGCATCCCAGCCCTGGAAGCCGCGACTCAKCCCCGCGCGTGGAACACACAGGTGCCCAGGGCAGGGCAGGTGGCACCGGTGCCGGCAGCTGCACCGAGACCATCGCCGTCCAGCCTGGAAAGCTGCCTCCTCCTCACGGCCCTGCGAACTCGGCGCTGAGTGCGTGACCTCCAATCCACCGCTATCAACAGCGGTTTACAACAGAAAGTTCTGTAGAAAATAGTGCAGACAAAGCAAGCCGCTCAACACCACAGTTAAGGGGTCTGCTATTTCATATTCAAAGGTCTCCAATACTTTTTGCCTGTCCTGTACAGCTTTTAAAAAAATAGGGCGTTACCATTTGTCTTCTATCCTCCTAGTTAAGAAACTACAAATGTCAYAAGCTGTTCAAAGTGTAAAACATTAAATAAAATGAGAATCCTGTTTCTAGGCTCCTAACAAATGCTGCAGATAAAAACTCTAAGAAATCCTCTCTAGAATTAGAATGACTAATAGTCATTCTCTCAACTGTTTTGTGTACTGAAGTG